TGTTTGTTTTAATAGCAATCTGGCAACACTGCATCGCCGGCACTTAAACTGACAGTAAACAAAAAAGCCCATGGACAGGTTATTGCTGACATTACAGCACAATCGGTAAGGGAAATGCAAAAAATATTATATTATCTGTCAGAAACATTATCAACGCTGTCAAAAACAGCAGCATTTAACACTAGTACACAGATCTGTACAAGTAGGTTAACAGAATGAAATTAAATAACATAGACTTCTTCATGGCTAGTGTTTGCATAGGCTATGTCATTCATCATAGTAGTTAAATTTTCACAAAGTCATGCTAAAAGCATTCATAAGAGCACTAGATAAAGTTTTCATCTATACAGCAATGATTATTGATTAAAATCTATAAAAGTTTTCATCTATACAGCAATGATTATTGATTAAAATCTATAACAGTAGTAATAATAATTATAATAATTAGTTACATTTATATAGCGCTTTTCTGGGTACTCAAAGCGCTTTACATGAAAGCGGGGGAATCTCCACAACCACCACCATGTAATATGTATTATTGCATGAATAATAAGCAAATGATAAAATTATTCACCCCTAAGTAAAGTATTAACAAATTTTAATGCAATAAATAGGGTATGATTTAAAAATGATAGTTTTTAAACTGTGCAGTGCAGTCTGCACTGATACTGAGTTGTTCTTTTGGGCCACATGGACTTCAAGATATTATTTGGATAAAAATAATGAGGCAAATACACTGAATATTCACTTTGTGATTTGTTTTGATGTTAACTTAATTAGAAAAAATACACAATTACCACACACGCCTGCCCCTAGACCTACAGTACATAGGTCTTTTTACATTTCTTACAGTTGATTAGTGACGAACATGACGCAGAGCAACAAATGACATTGTTAAACATTATTACGAGTGCCGTTTTTGTCCCAAAAGCACAAGCACAAATGTGATACTGAATTTATCCAACAGTTCAATAAATAATTAGTTAAAGGGGTCATATGAGTTGCTAAAAAAGAACATTATTTTGTAGTGACGTAGACATGTGGGGGCATGTTAGAACGAGCCGTTTTAGGTAGGAGTGGACTAGTCTTAACTATTATAAAGAACATCTCTTTGGGTTTGAGACTTTAGTCTTTGCAACTTTAGGGATCTTATCTATGCACGAACAGCTTGTAACACTCCAAAGAGAAAGGAAAACTTGAAATTGCATCATATAACCCCTTTAAAAGGAAAAGAAGAGGCTCAAATGGGCGTGTGTGACACACAAGAAACAGTGAACTCTGTTCTAGTTTGTCACACATGTTTGAGCTTCCGTGTTCAGTGTATCTGATGCACACTTTTGTAACTGTCATTCATTCATTTATTTACCATTGACTTTTATTTGCAGTCAGACTATCTGAGATGTCGTTGTCATAACGTGTTGCTATGGGTTGCGCCTTGCTTTGGATTTGACTGACAGAGTGGCATTCTGACAGTGCAAGCTTCATGCTTTCTAACCACATCTGTACATTTTTACCTTTATGTTGCAATTATTCTGCTTATTGTACATGTAAAATGCAAGAAGTTTATATCAGTAATTCCATATTCATGATTATGACCACACAGTCTATTTACAGTGTGCAAATATAAATACAAAGAAAGAGAAAGTGTAAAATGTTATATATACATGCATATATATTACTTTAACTCTCTTCACAACTCTGTATACATTGGATTGATTTTGATAATTGTAATGTACATGAATTGTGCACCAAACACCAAACCAGTGGCGTAACTACAGACAGTGCAGGCAGTGCAGCCGCACTGGGGCCCGTGCCGCTGGGGGGGGCCCGCAGCGCACGCGGGCCCTGCCCACATTGCAAGCGACTATATTAATATAAATTAATAATAAAATAAAATTAGTACCGAGATTCTTCACAGTACTGAATAAATACATAAATTCGCATGAATTAGTTTTGTGGTTTATTAGTCTAGCGGTAAAGCTTTTGTCAAGCATTTCCGAGGTTCTGGGTTCTAATCCACCCTCGTGTAGTTTTTTTTCT